GAATGCCGATTATAAGAGTAGGAATGTTTTTTTTTATAAATTTGATCCGAACCCCTTGAATGGATGAACTTCTGGGATCAGCGCTCACGGTACGCAGCGCTTGTTGTGCTAGCCCTGACACCCACCATCCGATCGCGCAATTCCAGATCAACGGCAGAATTTCATGGCGAAAGCGTAACGTGTCGCAATGCTCGGTACTGTCCGTCCTGCCTTCTGATGTCAACTGGCTTTTAGCGCGACCGCTGCCACCGGCCACAGGGCATACCTATCAAGGGCAAATAGCGATGCTAAATCCACCTAAGCAACTAAGATAAACGCTGTCAAAAAGCTGTACTTAGTTTATGTCAGACCACATCTAGACTATTGTGTACAGGCTTGGTCACTGTGCTTCTAAAAAAGGAAAGAGTACAGCGAAAGGCAACTAGGATGATAAATGGGATTGGTGGCTTAGAATATAAGGATAGGCTTAGAGCCTTTGGTTTGCATCCACAGAAATTTCGCAATCTTAGAGAAGATCTAGAGAAGAAAAAGATATAGAGAAGGCAGCATAGAGGTCTACAAAATTATGAAAGGGATAGACGCGGTAGATCTACGTGGAGCACTGGTAATCAGGCAGACATAGAGGAAAGCAGTTTCAGTTAGCAAAAGGTAGGAGTATAATTATTGAGGGGTAGACGTCATTTAGTCAAAGAGTAGTAAATCCTCATAATGAACTACCACACTAAGTTGTGGAAGTCCCTTTTAATCAACATTTAAAAATCGTTTGGACAAGTTCTTTCGGTCTAAGGATCTCACTGTCCTCACTCATCTATCACTAAATCTCACTCACTAAATTCAGACAAGTCAGGTGACATGATTAATGTCGAGGATGTGTGCGGAACATGGGGTAAGCCAACCACGATTGGTCCTTGTAGCTCTTTGTTGACCTGATGTCTTTATGTTTTTTTAATCAATTGACAGTTCTAGAGCATTCTTAGAGTAACACTATGTCAAAAGACAATAACTGTTTGTAGCTCCAAAATATTACCAGTTTACGTTGTTGCTGTTCTTCACCTAGGCGATCTTTTATACTGTTTGTAAAATGGCTAGCCGCAGCTATCAGAGTCGGATAAAGGATGGATCACCTACCATGTCCACGAAATTTGTCATGTCCTGTGGAGCTGGTTGAATCGGCTTGCCAGCTTCAACTGTCATCTTACTTTCATTTTGTATTGCTTCGAAAGATGACACCCTGCAACTCTTTTCTAGAAGTGGGACGAACTAAAGGCATGGGCTGAATAAATGTCTATAAAAGGTCTCGTTGAATTTAACAAGCTTCTTCGTCGTTGAATACATGTGGTCTACCAATTGCGTGTTAATGAAATCGTATGGAAACGAGCTTTTTTGCCGCACTGTTTGACATATTGAGCTTCCCAGAGCTTTCTAAAAACGTTAAAACTGGTAACAGACTAATCAGTGCATTAATCAATCGCAAAAACGGGTGCTGTGAATTTGGGTACGTCGTTGCATCGGCCCAATATTGCAAACAAATAAATGTTTGGCTTTGATATGGCAATACGCAGAAGGAACAGTCCAAACCAGGCATTTACACCGTCAACATTTGCTGAAAAGTTTGAGTTCCGAGTTCATCCATGCGCTCAAAAGTCAGCCAGGCATTGCTGTGGCCGACATGATGCGGAATAAGATTACATCTGTGTTTCCGGCCACCCGGCCGGGATAATTCCTGGTGTCTTTCAAAGTAGTGAATACCACCGCCGTCGCCTTTTCATTGGCTGCACACTGGAATATTTCCATTCCACTGAGCTGACTCTCCGTTTACACGTGTCAACGATTTGAAGAAGCCGTATCTGGACCGTGAGCCCAAAACGTTACGTGACGATTAGGGTGAGCATCATGCAAAATCTTCGTAAAAGTCACCCTTATCGGATGGAAATGATGCAACACATGGTGCAGTGATACGAACTGGTGTTAATGTTGGAATATGTAGCCAGGCACAGGCACACCAGCGATGGCTAGAAAACATGCTAACAAAGTCTCGAGACTCACTTTATGGGAACGAACAACTTAGAAGTATCCGAAAACGATTATTGCGAATCCCCCTTGGTAATAACTTTCAAAGCGTGAATGCCCTGGGGCATCATCGTAATGACGTCACCGTGAGATTGTCAGACCTTGTCCCGACCAGGTTCCGCCCTACCCACCCCCGCCCTCCTGACCGCGTGACCTCTGCGCGACCGTTCTCACAATCCACACATTTTGCGACGCCGTTGTTGGGTGTACCGTTAATGGGCTGTCGTTGGTGACCGCTGCCCGAGACATCATGGCGGAGTCGCGCATGCCGCCGCTGCTGGCCGCCGCCGCCCTGCTCAGCGCCGCCCTCCTCCTGACCTGGCAACGTCGGCGTCGCCCCGGCGCCGCCGCCGCTTGAGGTGTCATCTCTCCAGTCTTTTCGTTCCTTCAGAAAGGAAATGTACCAGCGCTGCGGTGTGGTCGCGCCTCCGGTGTATCACAGCTTTGGATCCAGGCATGGAAACATCCTAAATACTAGGCTGAGATTGGGAATGTCAGACCTGAATGCCCACCTGTTCGAAATTCAAGATCCAACTACATATAGTCCCTCTTGCTTATATGGCTATCCATATAAAGACCCTTAACACTTTGTACTTAACTGTTCTCGTTATCATGAAATCCGAATTTCAATGCTACGTAAAACAGATCGTTTCATTCCAAACTTTTCTGAGCTCACTCACAACGAGCAACTAAGTATCTATCTCACAGGTAACTGCTTACAGGATCGCAATTGGCAGCACGTAGCAAAAATTTTCCAAACATCTCTTTTTCAGACCAAACGATTCGCCTAAAAACTCCCAGCGGGCGCGGGCAGCAGACGGACTACTGGGTGGCGTTGCCGGGCCGGGCGTCCGCCGCCGGCCCGAGACGGCTATATGTGTGGACTGGAGTGGCGGCGGGCGCCCGGCCCGTGTCGGCTTACGGATCGGGCGAGTGGGCGGTGTGGACGTGGGTTCTCTGGCGGCGATGACCATATCTCGTTATTGTTAGGAGAGGCGCTCGGATCTGAGCGTTCCACTTATGCGCCAATCCACTCATCATATTATGTGTTGCTTAATGTCCATAATCGAAAATAAACATCAAACATTAAACATCAAACGTCCAACTAAGCTAAACTTCATTTTTGCACAATGCTAGACGCAACCAGCAACGCCAGGGTAAAAAAACAAACGCTGATAAAACTGCCTTAAACACAGAGCCAACAAAAGCTCAACCGTCAGCTGAACTATGAGCTGACCGTCCTGCATCACACCTTTTCTATGGGCGCATAGTCTGCAAGGCTTTGGTTTCAAAACAGCAGAAGGTTCATCGACCCCCTAGCACTCCGCGTTACAAAAGCTGCAAATCAGGAATCAGTAAATAACGCTGTTAAATGTTCCGTCCCCTAGATCTGGATGGAGGTTCGTTGGAGTTTGACCAATAGCATTCAAATGGTCAATGAAATAGCTTGTGCAGCTGTTCACCACGTTAAGTGTGGTCAATGAACATTTCCTTCGATTTCATAGACGGCAATCAGGACTGTTTCATCAGGGGCAAAACTGCATTGCCAATATTGATTGATATGATGTCAACATCGCGTTTAAAATGTTCATGAGCTAGTCCCATGCGGCAGAGACGCCACAGCTAACCTATTCCAATTTGCAGATGGCGCCTAACGGAGGCATTCTCGGCAACACTTGACGCACAAAGGCCGTTGAGACATGCATAATTAAAAAACTCCTTAATGGCAATGTACTTGTTGACTCCTTCCGCTTGTCATCCGTCTGTGCTTGCTTACGAGTTTTAAACATAATCCCGCCCAGACACTCAGTCTTATTTCCTTGAAAAGAAACTCGAGACAAGTGGCTTAGAATTCGTGGAATGCTGGTCCACACCCTCGCGGCGATCCTGCTGCCTGCGACTGACCTTTCTTTGTTGCTAATTTTAAGACCAGCATCACCACAAGACACACCAGCACCACCACAACCGCACGGCTAATCCCCGTGCGGTTGCCGCCACCAGCGCGAACCCCTTTCGGCCAAGCGGCAAAATGCTAAGCTGTTCCCAGAACGGGGTGTAATAAACAATGATGCCGCCAGTGATTTGAAGTAGTCATGACTGGGCTCTTCAGGTCTCCACGTCACATGGAAATGCCGACGGTCGCTGGTTAAAATCGTGACAATACCGGTGTACCGGGAGCATACAGCAAGCAACGACTTGCTTGTAAGTTAAGAGAGAGCGTGCAAAACAGGTTTCATGATAGTCTGCTCCACTTGAAGTCGGTTGAAAGTCTGGGACTACGGTTAGCTGCTCAATATGATCGCATACAGTCGGCAGCGTTGCTGCCTTTGTAGTTTATTAGTGCAAGCAAGCACAGCACGTTAGTGAATGAACACCTCAAACTCGACGATAGATTCGGACATGAACACTTCAAACTCGACAGTAGATACGGACATCATAATTCATTTGCCGGTGGCAGCACAGCGCAGAAATACGCTTGTTTATCAATGATTAAGATTCCAACGGTGTGGGACGGCAAAATTCTTCCGATGTCACTAACAATATTTTCACAGGCAACGAAATGACATGAAACGGTGCCCAAACTAGCGCGGCGGACTATCAGAGAAGAGCTTGGTTTAGGGTGGACAATATCTCAAATTGCTAGGCTGTGTGTTTGTGATGCAGGAAAAGTACCTGAACTGCGAAACGCGAAGGAAGAACCTATTATTCTCACTGCGTTACAGTGCACAGGCCAATTCTGCTTTCCTAAAATTACCATTCGTATTGAAGAACTTACAAGCCAAGACATCAGGATCAATAACAACCTTGGAGCTTTGGGGAATGATAAACAATTCATTGAGACCCAAGACTGAATTTCACGCAACCACATCAATCCGAAAGCACCCATACCCTGTCACCAAATAAAGTGGGCACGCGACATCTGGACCTCAAACAATAATACTTGCTCAATACTGTACCCAAGTGTTCGACATGCTTGACCTCATCGACCACGGCCAAGTCGACCAGGTCAACGGCAGCCTCAGATTCTCGGCGTGTCGTGTTCGAGCTCAAGAGGCAGCGGAATGTTCTTCTGGTGCGCGAATTTTCTGATGGCCTCGTACTTCTGATAGTATGACTCGATCTCTTCGCGCATGTGTTTGTTGTCGTCGATGACGCGTATCCGCTCCCGCTCCTCGGCCGACTTCTCCGTCTCGAGCTCGTCCTTCTGCTCCAGCCGCTTCACGCGGCAGCTGGCGAGGCATCAAGGTCATCACTCAAGGTCATCACTCAAGGTCATCACTCAAGGTCACCCGCCGACGGTCGAGCACAAGGAACAGTCCAGTCTCCAATGGTGCAGGTCAGTCATGGTCAGTTTTCTGTTGATGTTCAAAGGTTAGGGCGTCGGTACGCGAAAGTGAATAATGACGGATCTTAGGAGCTAAACGCTCCTTTGTGACTTATCATGGTTAACAAAATAGCTTGGAACCAAACTTCCACAAACCAACCAAACTTTTCCATGTATGAATTTGACGAGATGATGTATTCCGCTAACGTGCAGTGATATCAATTGATACAATTGACGTTTCTTATTTCATTTCGCAGACATGATCATTCAATGCACAAAAGTATGGCTGGTGCACGAATCACCAACATTTGGAAGCAATGCACAATGAACAAAAAAGAACCGCTCGTATGTGGGATATGTGTCTCCCTTCCACTGACAGAGCACTCGTGGTGCCGTGCCTACGTTGTGCTTCACCCATCTCACGGGCGAAACTTTCTAACAGCTGGAACTGCGGTCCTATCTAACGTATGAAACGTTTTAAACACACAGCCAGGTATCTGTTCCTCCCGCTCCTTTTGGTTGGCACGTGTTCACCGATATAAGCGATGTTCACACTTCGGTATCACACACCACTCTTGCTACCCACCCCGTCAAGTAGTTCAAGCAAAGCTACATTAGCTCTAAACTCTATCTAAGCTTCCCCGCACTTCCACACACTACATCTGGTTAGAGACGCTAGGTGTAGCTGTTTGGATGAGTTGGGTGAGAGTTGGTAGGGAGGGTGGGCGGGGGGGGGGGGGGGGGGGAAGCGCGCAGTAGCGCAGCCGACTTCACGCGAGAAGATCAGGTTTCACTGCCGGTTGACATCATGGTGGCCTTGGGCGCTCATCTCACCGCCAGGCGCTGGCGCCTAACGAGCACATCGTGTGATAACGCGCAGACTTAAACATAAAAAGAGAAAAAAGCAATCCGACGTCAGGCTCACCTGGCAGCGTAGCCGCGGTTCTTGAGCGTGCGCCTCCTCTGCTTCATGCGCACCATCTCCTCCCGGTTTAGACCACGCATCTTGAGCTGGCGGTTCAGGTCGCGAACACTGATGGTCACCAGCTCATCGTCGCTGATGAGCAATGACGGCGGACTCAGCGGCGCCTGCGGGCGGGGCGGAGGTGATGGTGCGTAGGCGCACTCAGACAGAAGACAGCATGCCGATGCCGCCGATGCCGATACATGCCGATGGTATGGGCTGCTGAGAACATCGGCGAATCCCAACCTTAAGCTGACCTCGGCCGGTCGGACGCTCGGCGCCCCGCTCCGCGCTGCTCCGGGCGATCCGGATCCGGATCCGGGCGATCCGGGCTCAACGCGGCGCGGCCAGCCGAGTCCGTGGTGCGCGGCTCGCGACGTGAACGTGAGTTTGTTGTGACATCGCATGGGATTTACGAGAATGTCGGCCTAAGAGTCTACCTTCAGCGACGCAGAGATAGGACCTACGCACCCGTTGTCAGCCATTGAGCGGAAGAGGCAGCACTCAGTCGGCGAAATCATTAACGCGCTCGAGTCCAAGAGAAAACAACATCACCGGAACAGGCACATGTAAGTGAAGGGGACTGGACCATTTCGGACAAATTCAAGGCCATGATGGATTTGTCCATCGGTAACGGACCGTTAATTGTTTGGGGTAAAATTGAGGCCAAGCCGTCATCATACGGGACCAAACTGGATAATCTGGAAAGCACAGTCTTTAAACGCTTAAATCTTTCAAAGCCTTAGGTTATGCTTTTCATTACTGTCAGCACACAATCTTAAGCTACATATCCCAGTTTTGCTACGATGTTACCGCCCTGAATGCGGCGACACATCCGATGCATGGCGGTTTAGAATAATCCAACGGACGCGGTGTACTGCTAACGCCGGCTGCCGGGCGCGGGTCCCAGTTCGCGGAAGCTCGAGTGATCTAGCTACTCTGCTATTTGCCGTGCCAGCAGCCGGCGGAGCTGTTGCAGGAAGTGTTTCTTTTTCCCGGGAGGTTCATGGATTGCGGTCCGCACTAGCCGCAGCAGATCGCTGACATTCTGCCAAACATCAGAACATTCCATTAAGCACGGTTGTTGATGCATTTCTTCCAGGAATGTCGTCTTTATCGCTAAAACGCTTTTCGTGTCTTTCATTGTAGCTTTCCTGAATGTGGTGTTGTCCTCACTAGCTTTGTTTTACGCTCTGGGTTGTAATGAGTTGTTCAGTTATGCTATTTGTGTGGAGCTATAGTGTTTGCGTTCTAGCGGCCATGAAGTCCCAGGCCACAATTGTCGTGACCCTGAGGTCACATTCATCCTTAAACAGCGTGTTCAAGCGAAAAAGTCGCCAGCTGCCGCCAACCACTGTAAGAACATTGGTCGAGAGTGTTTTTGTCTGTGACATCATAACACAACCACACCAACACGCACAATCAAGCGCGCGCATTAACACGTACATCTCATAAACACAACACAACGAATGCATATTCACAAATGTGTTGTCACACCGACGATTATGCAGATAGTTAAGGGGAGTCGAAATGACTAATTTCAAAATTATTCCCATGAACGTCAGAGGCTTGACAGGCCAGTCCAAGCACAGAGACATAATGCAGTGCTTGAGAGATATGAGTTGTGATATTATCTTCCTTCAACCGGTTATATTATCTTCCTTCCATCGGTCTCAAAATCTCATTTATAACTAAACTCATGCAGGTCAGGTGGCCAGATCAGTTTTAAGGATGCGAACGGTACCTGAGATAGGCCAACTTTGATGGGCCATTGTGGCTCTTTGTTGACCAGATGTCTTTGTATCTCTTAATGTATCTTTTGGCTTCTGAGCCACACGCCCGCGAAAATACCCAGACTATTTCGCGCAGACTTTTTCAAGGTCACCCAGGCATCCGTGACGTCATAATAACGCAACGTAAACCCTACTTTTCCTTTGGCCATGCGGTGATCAGTGCCAATAAGAAATATAAATGTCGAGGGGTTCGTGTCTCGCGTTCGCGAGTACCATTCCCAGATATAACGGCTCTCAATTGGCTCTTAATCAATGTTGTGCAACGTACAATGACCCAATCTAGCAGTTACGTATTGAGAAGCATACTTACTAAACAGAGAAACTGTGTTGTCTAGAGCGGTCCGCTCCACTAAACATGTACTAATAGTTATAACTGAGCTTATTTCATCATACCAAATGCCTCCTGCAGCATCTTCGAATGTGGAATATTGTATTTAAGAATAACGCATTAGCCGAGCATGTGAATCCAAGCAAACACCTTAAATCCACGGATAAGCATGACAGAATGCCACGAGAAAGGGCCAAAACACAAGCACATAACGACAGTTAGCTCAGTGAAGACTTCCAGCCCGTGCTGTCATCTTTTAACTAACTAAAGTGCTACAAAAAGTAGCAGTTTTGTACAGCTGGTTTGGCAGCACCCCAACGCCACACCGACGTTCCATGACACAATGAGACAGTGTCGGATTAAAGAAAATATTTGTATCTATCTTGTAGATAATTTTTTGTCTACAGCGGCATTTCCTGCTTAGCGACACATTAAATGCTAGAAATGGGTTCCTTCAAATCTACCTGATGTTTGCTTCAGTGTCTTCAAATGTGGAACATTCCCTTTCAAAGCAATTTAGTAGCTATAAGTGAACTTATTTCATCATATTTGATGTTTACTTCAATATCTTGAAATGAGGTACATTCCATTTGAGGCAATAAATCTGACCCATTTCTGGCGTGCGTATTCTTTTCACGGTTTCGTGTAGCGACGGCTAAGCCAGCCCACGTTACGATAGCCCGTGTAGTTTACCGTCGCCGCCCTCGGCGTACCGGTTTTTCAGTGGATGTTTGAAGTAAACATCTGCACGGCGCGATTACGCCCGATTATATGACGCCACGGCCTCTGTTTACTTTGTCCACCACTACCTGGCGAGTACCGCAACCAGGTGACCGAGAGAACCACCGAAAGCCATACTTGGAGCACTCCCCTTTCCCAATCGACGTCGTGGACGTCCTCTTCACGGAATGCACGGAATAAGCTCCAAGCACAGCAGACGCCCCCCCCCCCCCAAAAAAAAAGAGAACGAAAGCTCACCAGTGCTGTCGCCTACGTCAGCTGGCGGCAAACACCTGAACGGCCAGACCTAAGCGTCATTTCCCGATGCCCTCTTCGTCCGCGGCTCCACGCCGCCCGGCTGGCCATAGAGCACCACAGGGTTTTCTCACCTTGCTGTGTTTCTCTCGCTTGTCCGTCTTCATTCCTGCCGCGTGCCGTCGCCCACGAGCGTCCCGACGGGCAAATGGCGGCCGGCAAATTGCAAGTCACGCCGCCGCGTCGTCACGCGCGGCGGAACGCCGCTGGTCACGTGACCGGCGGGGCGGCACGGTGGAGAGCTGGGCCGCCGTGTGCTGCGGTGCAGCCGCGGCACAGGCCGTTGCCACGGCAACTGCTGGCAGCGTCGAGGGAGCCGAGAGAGCTGAGGGAGCCTCTGCGACGGCAGTGGTTTTGGCTCAGTCGTTTTACAAACCCAGGTGGCGTCTATAACCATCCGCCACGGATCAGCAGTTGGGTGAACTGTGTGGTTTGTAATACGGCTTACTTTCATGTCAACACGTAGACGTACACGTAATATCCAGAGAAATTGGGATTTATCCTCTCTGCCCCCCCCCCCCCCTTCCCTGTTGGAACCCACACAGCTCGTCTCAATTTGTTTCCGTCTCAATTGTTTCCGTCTCAACAGCTCGTCTCAATTTGTTTCCGGAAACTACATTTGCGTCGCCTAGCAGCTTGCTCTTGACCGCGCAGGATAACACTAGACTTGTAGAGCTCGTATTTAACTAGAAAAAACTCATCGAAGTCTCTTTTTCGTATAACTCCGACGTGCTTCTTTTTTCTGAGGCCAAGAACGCACCTTGTTGCACATTCCTGCGTGTTGAAAATCCTAATAAATGGCCATCACTGTTGACAACTCCGTGAATGATTGCACATTCAACTACGTCCCAGCCGTCGCAGTTAGCTCCTTGACGTAAATTTCTAAACCAATAAGCAGGCCTTAAACGATCCATCCCAATAACGTCAGCAATGATTTCAAGTCACATCACATAACTTGCAATTAATGTGCTACTCGATGGCAATCGATGCCACTAAATTACATGTTTAGCAGAAACTAGTCATTTCTATGTGTAACAATCAGCTTCGTCGAAGTGTACATGGGCAGGCTTGCAATTGAAACAAAATTATCGGCATGTAAGCACGCGCATGAGGAAATGCAGTGACAGGATGGCACCAATATATAATGTAGGTGTACGGTGGTAACAAGAGGACCCATAAATCACATTTTTAGGATCCGGATTATACGGTCCAAACTAGTCCGAATAATCCAGATCTAATCCGCCCGCGAATCCGCCTTTTTCACACATCTCAATACAATGCGGTCCTGTTCGCCTTACCAGGCAAAAATATTTCACTTGAATCCGTGCCAATCCGCTTCCACATTAGGGACTCCTTGAAATCTGAACAACAAATTTGGTTCATCTGAGAATGTTAGATTTAAGAAAGTTGTTCATTTCCATTTGATACTAATGTGCAACAGGTCGGCATAAGCCAGTGGGTGCTTAGGTGCTTAACACAGCTTGGTGCCAGTCGGAAATGCAGTTTTACATCAAGATCAGAACAAACATGGCTCATCACATATTTACTCATATCACGAATATTTTGGCCAGTAACTCACAGACACCGCTACATCGCAGTGGCTGGATTCAATAACCTAAAGGCATGAGCACATTACCTAGCATTTCTAGATTTAAGGTTAGGAGCATATACCTACACATACCACTAGGCCATTTTCAGCGGCACCCAGTTCACAGACGCAGGACGACACTCATCTAGCACGCCTTCTGAATAACTGGAACAATCATCTCACATCATATATGATACTCCAAGTGTGCGCATCCATTCTTAAACACACCAACTAATGAAACAACCTCAGATGCGGCACAACACAATTTCTCCGTTTGGTAAATATTTTTTTTTTTAATACAGCACAATATTGTGATTGTAACACCCGATCTGATATGTTCTCCTTTATCATTGTTGATGTTCTCGCCTGTTTTGCTGAAACAAGATTATCATGAATTGGTGTTTCAAGCCTATAGCATTCCTTATGATGCATTCTATTTTGGGAAGTGCATCCAAAGCTATTCACCCACATCGTTAAGGAAAACAGACAGACGTTGAAGGCAAAAGATGCTATCAGTGCCAATACTTCTTCATGACTCGGCATCAACGTCCTTATCTTACGTAAAGAGTAACGGGTCAGGAGGCACTTCAGAGTTTCGATGTTTCTTATGTCGTCTCTTGCGATCATGTTTGCATCACGTAATCAACTTCTCTGGAACCTGTTCTCAAGAACGACTCGTTCCTGAGAACGTCCCGCTGAACTGTTGGGTTGATCATATGGATGCGTATTGAAATGTCCAGAGTTCATGAAGTCCAGTGCCCAAAAAGTCCAGAATCGCAGCATCCAGCGTTCACAACATCCAGAAACCATCCAGGCTCGCAGCGTCCAGCGTTCATAAAGTCCAGTGTTCATAAATTCCAGCTTGTGTGGGATCGACGGGATGAGATACCGTCCCACTTCCTCGCAACCCTTCACCTAGTGGTTCGGATATTGCCCGACAGAGGGCTGCCGGAGCCGAATTCGCCCCGCCTCAGCCGACGAGTGACGTCATGCGGTACAGTGCTGCCCAGTTAAACCACTCTGCATGGATATGGACAACGTTTTGTTTGAGCGCACAAACTTTGCCGTATCAGCACGCCTTTGGCAGCAGGCGTATGAAAGACTTTAAAACTTTGATCCCTGGCTCGTGGTATCGAAGATGGCTGATTTCTCGGCAGTAGCTGCACGGTGGATCGTGGAAAGTAGTTGTCGGGGTGCCTACTGTTTAGTACTGTGGGCTATGGATAAAGTTTTCCGCGGTATTTCGTCCCGTTATTTACTGTGTGTGTTGGTGATGTTCCTTTTTTTGAAGAAATTGATGACTGATGTGTAAGGCGGACTGATTTGATGTCTGCTCCGGGTAGGTGCGCAAATAAATGTCAAGCTCCTGGCACGCTAAACCTACGTTGTTAGTGATTCTATTTGGCTGATTTCCCTCCTTCCCGCAATTGCAAATTCTTTCACTCGGTCCTGTAAATGGGACGTATTCTGAGTTATACATGTCTTTACTCTCAAAGAGAGGGGGGGTGGGGGCTGTCTCATCAGCTGAATCCGGATACTACTCCCTGGTGAGACACGTTCAATGGCCCCAGCCTAATAAACAATTGGTTTTTCCATTAGGTACGTTTTTAAACATGCTTGGTTACCAAACAAAGTCAGTAGGCTGAACAATCAAAATGCAACGAAGAGTCCCGTGGCAATATGCCAACTAATTGGTTCCTCTCCGATTTTGGCCCACTTTGTCACAAATCTGCGGGCTGCAACCAAGTTAGGGCGGGAGATGAGACCCCCGCAACTGAAAAGGGCACGGCACTCCTGGTTGCAAGCAACTGGGAAGCAAAGAGCAAACGCTGAATGCGAATGTATTCAACTGCCTAGCAGACGCCACGCAAAAGCTACGCACGCGCCGCGCTCAAAGGCGCTGTTGGTTCACCATCTCAACAGCGGTGTTGTCAGCGCTCCAAGGCACTGTTGTACAACTGTTGTACAACAGCGCTCAAAGGCGTTGTTGGTTCACCATTCAACAGCGGTGTTGTACAGCGCTCAAGGCACTGTTGTACAACTGCGATTCTTTGGCTGATTTCCCTCCTTCCCGCAATTGCAAATTCTTTCACT